GCGATATACTGTAAATTATTTTGAAAAAATCTTTCTATCATGGAGCGCTTTTATGGATTCTTCCTATTTTCTTCGAAAAAAAGGGATTAAAGCCTTTGTCGCCAAAAAGGGAGAGGAAATTCTTCCACGAAACCAAACGCTACCTGAGATTTCATCAAATTAGAGACAATTTTCAAACCTTCGTTTACTTCCGTTGGTTCCTAAAAAGATATGGTTTTCGAGAGATACGATCAGAATCTGGGCATGTTTAGGTTTAACCCAAATGAGTTCACCATTGCTCCAAGCGTAAAACGAAAAGAAATAGAAGAAGCTCTACTCGAGAAAAAAGATGGCGAAAAGAAAGCCGATAACATAATCAATGAGCGTCTACTCTACTTGCTACTGCCAAGGTAAGGTTATAGTATTACTACAGAAGGATCAGAGGGATTTACAAAGGTTCTACGTTGATCTAGCCAGTTGCTCAGCTCCCATCGAGAACCCCAGTGAAATCTAGATCAGCCTGCCTTGAAGCGTTTTAAGAGCCATTCGATGAAAATCAGAAAAGTAACTTTTTAAAGCTGAGAAAGTAACTGGAGAATTAGGATGGTTCATTCCGTTATCTCAGACAAACTGGTATTTACAAATCCCGTGTTATCCGGAATTTGAACTGACATCTGTCCGTATGTTACTGTCGCGACTTCCCATTAGGGTAACTCCATCACTGTGGGTAGACTGAATGGCGGATTACTTGCTTTTACTTATGAATTCAATTCTATTTTTTGAGCTTCTTTTGCACAGTTTCCCTTTAAAAAGGCTCCATTCCATTGAAAATTTACAGGATCAAGGGTCAGCCACCTTTCACTACCACAACCCTGCCGACAACGACGACGACAACCACCACCACAGAGATGACGACAACCACTTCTCCTGCCCCTACAACTACGACCACAACATCTACCACGACTCCAACTACAACAACTACACCTGCAGCATCTTCTACACCAACATCGGCGCAGTCTTCTGACCCGGATGCCTCTGTTCTACCTTCAGTAAAACGAAAAAAAGAACATCACAACATGGCGAAATGGTCTGAGGAGGATACAAAAGAGTTCGACCTTGATAGTTCGGAACTAGTAAGTTTTTTTTTACTTTTTCACATGGGTCGAAGCCACTATCATTTGTCCCCAGAGGCCATCCACTCAGAGTATAAAGCCATTCCACTGGGCGTTCCCCACCTGTGTCACCTGTTCGATCAGTAATTAATTTCCTATGGCTGGGTGCAGTAACAACTCCGTTCGTCCCGGTGGTGCAATTTATTGGACCTTTCTTGCGTCATGAACTGGCGGTGATAACTCATCGAGTTCGAAGCCGTTCATCACTGAAGTGTCCGACCTGGTCTTCATCCCCAACGGTTTACTCTGAGAGCACGAGAAACCAAGAAAAAAATGGTGAAAAACCTCGGAAAAATTCGAAATTTTTAGGCGACTTTAGAAAGGGAGTATACCAAGAAACTGGCTTTGCTGAAGGAGCAGAAGAAGGAACGTGAAAGTAAACGTCCGGCCAACTCCAAACAGGTCAGTTCGAAGGAGAAGTCCAAAGAATTGAATTCTGCCAAGGTGAGGCGAGACGTTTCAGATGTTTCCAAAATTTTAAATATCGAGAAATTGAAGGATAAAATAAGTTTTTCCAAAAAATTTTAGTTTTTTCATACTTCCAGGTCTCATCGGCTGTACAAGCGGATGTAACGTTGGTCCCTGTCCAGAAGGGGCCTACCACAGAGGCACCAAAGAGCGACGGACAACAATTCACGGTGGTTTTCCAAACTGCACCCAAACAAGTATTGGATGAGCGATTAAAAATTGAATCTAAAGTACTGTCGATCCTCAGCAAAGCTTTGAAAGATCATGAGGAAAAGTCTAAGGAAAGCTTGAAAGGCGAGTACGCGGATGAGGCCATAACTGAGCCCCCACCGGCGCGCGAGCCTACTACCGAGGAAGTCGAGGACGTGACAGAAGTTCATCCGACGTCAGTGGAAAGAGTGGCAGAAATGGAGCTTCGTAGAGTCTTAGCTGAAAAGGATAAGGACGATGCTCTACAGCATGAACCACCCACGCTCGCCTCTTCATCGATAGAAGAGACTCTGGACTCTGTTCCGAGCACCTTCAAACCTGGAAACGAGCTGACAGAGCCGTCTGATTCATCAAAGCTTTCGGACGATTCTGTTCCTACGGCGTCTGTAGAAGTCCGAGTTCCAGCAGAAGAGGCAAATGAAGTGAATGAGGTAATTTTTAGGGGAAATTTCCTTTCTATCGGAAAATAGGCTTTTATTTCAGATGTTAGCTCTGATAGAAGCTGATGAGAAAGCGGAGAAAGCGGAAGCTGCCTCTTCGGATCCGAAGGCGATGAAAATACTCAGAGAGAAGACGAGAGCCAAGATACTGGCATTCTTGCAAAAACGAGGTTTCAGGATTACCGTTGAATCATTTATTTGACGAAAAAATGGTTTTAAACAAGTTTTCAGTGGAACAGATGACAGAACAACTAGAACGAGCCGCTATGTCTTCTAGTACTACCGCTGTGTCTACTGGTACTACCGCTGGGTCTCCTAGTACAACCTCTACGGCAACATCTCCGTCCACTATGACCACTACGGAGATTCCACAGACCACAGACAGCACTACAACAGATACAACAACAATGGAGACCACTACTGAGGCTTCTACAACGGCTTCCACTACAACGGAAGAGAAAGAGGAGAAAGACGACGAAAAGGCGTTCAAGCAAATACCAGACGCGGAACAGGACGACCCATCCGGTACGTTCTGAACCTCTGGATATAATACTAGTTTTTTATACTACTAGTTTCTACTCGAGTCAACGTTTACTAAAGTAGTGTGTAATAGTGAGTTCCATAGTTGATCCTGTAACAAGTAGCGGTAGTGCTAGTTTCGGATTCTGACTCTAGTCAATATTCTCGCCTTTGAGTTGACTTCTATGCCATCTCATAAGCAACTAATTGGCTAGTGAATACACAAGTAAAAGTTGAGCGATTTCTCGAAAATGGGCATAAAAAGTACTCCTGAAGAGTAAAGTAAATCCAAGTCGCAGTACTTACAGCTGGACATACAACGAGCACAGCTGCAACAACGGAGACATCTACCGAGTCGAAGGAGACCACCACGACGTCGAATAAACCCAAGGTTTGCTAGTGCTACATTTTTCCTGTTTCATCCACGATCTTTTCCCATACAGGAGAAATGTTATGCATTCAGAGCGAAAATTATGACTATCATTAGAAATAAATGAAACGGGCTGGTCCTCGTCCCGTCCTCGTCTATTTAATGGTGAAAAGGCTGCAGCTAAACATCTACTCTTGGAATGGATTGCAGGTTCTCCATTCGGGGCATACACTTTCTTGGGAGTCGGGCACTAAAAACGATTTTGGGTAATCGATCCGTCGCGCGCGGCTGTCGCTTACCATTTGCCTCGTTATAACAGTTCTAGCGTTCTTCAAACAGCTCGATCGCTATACGATTATTA